AAAGCTACGTCGTGTGATGTCTGTATTTGCTTCCCCTGTCGCGAGTTCTGATCGCTCAGTGATGATACTTATATTTCTAGAATCTGTGGAATCTCAGCTTGTTAGCACAGTTTATGCTGTAGAAACTATGTCCAGGACAAGGTGTTTGGACGTTTTGGAAGATTCATAGCTAACCACACTGAAGTTATGGAGGTATTGATCAGTCTTCTCATATTTTTAAGCCCCCCTCTAACATCACCAGAAGTCATAATTTAGGGGGTCTTTTCTCAAAAAAATGCCCCCTAGTATTGTTTGATCACCATTTCCACAGCCCCACCTAAAATATTTTCCACCAGCCGCCACTGCTCAACACGTAGTCACTCAGAGGGGGGTACTAATTATTTTCAAATGCATATAGGCAATGCTAACCATTTACATGTACTGTAGGCTCTTTCAGTCAAGAATTTGAATTTGAATGGGATGGGGAGACGCTCTGCCAACACTGACCCAATCTTCTGCTCCTTACAGCCCACTGCCTGTGTTTTAACATGTTTTAACATGTTCTTTTTTTTTTTTTTAAGAATATTTTTATTGCAGAAATGTGTTGTACCAACCGCATTGATATATCAAAGCAATCATATTTTCCATTTTCAGTAACAACAAAACAGCGGATTCAGAACATACTAGTACAATTAGGCTGTTGGCGGTTTTAAAACACATCCATGGGCGAGATAACAAGAAATGCAATATTCATGCCAGAAACAAGAGGGCAGTCCAAGAGAGCACATCAGGAAAAATAAAAAATGTACATAGCAAATTGAAAAAAAAACAAAAAAAAACAACAAGATAAAAGTTACAGGATTAACATTATTCATCCCACACCTTCATCCTCACCCAGACCTCTTAAGTGTCTCATCACTGGAGCCCAGGCTTTATCAAACACTCTCCCCCTTCCTGCATTCTTGAATCTAAGTTTCTCCAGGTAGAGGATCTCACCCAACTCTCTCAGCCACATCTCGAATGTAGGCACACTATCAGACTTCCATAACCTCAAAATAAGTTTTTTAGCCAAAACAGTACCCAAAAACACCGGCCATTTGTCACTGCCATAGTTCAGATCAGTGTCACTCGTGGACCCCAGAATGGCCACAAGGGGATCAGGCTTCAATTGCTTGTCAAATGCTTTTGAATAAAAATCAAATACAGAAGTCCAGAATGAGTGGAGGTTGGGGCATGTCCAGAATTGGTGTGTAAGGGTGCCAGCTTGATTTTTACATTTGTTACATAATGCTGATATGCTGGAATACATCTTGTTTACTTTAACTTTTGAGTAGTGCAACCTATGTAGAACTTTAAATTGTATCAGATTTAATCTAACATTTACTGAGCACCGGTGAATATTCCTAAGACATGTTTCCCAAAATTCCTCAGTGATCGGCATACCCAATTCTGTCTCCCACTCAGTTCTATACTTTTCTGTGCTGACTACTTCCTGACTAAGAAGTGTCTGGTATAGGGTTGACACTGCTCCTCTACATCCTGGTCTAACATTAATTATCTCTTCAAGTGCCCGATGCTGTGGTATATCTGCAAATGTAGCTACATGAGACCTCATAAAGCTCCGGATCTGTAGATATCGAAAAAAGTGTGAGGCTGGGAGATTTAACATGTTCTTTTGTTTTGTTTTATTTGTTTTGTTTTAATGTTCTGTATTTTAAATTGTTTTATTTAAGTATCCCAGTAATGTATGTTGCATGTTTTAAATGTATTGTATTTACTTGTTTAAAATGAAATGTGTTTTAGATTGACTTTTAAAATCTGTCCAGGGAATAACTACAGATGAAAAATAGCCTCAGTCTTGTCTTCCAAAAGGTTTGTGACAAGATGTGAAGTCAACAGGTATTCACTCAGAGGGGGGTAGGTACTAAATGCCACCCATTTACATGTAGGCAAACAAAGTCAAAAATCAACATACAGTAGGGGGGTGGGGGATGGTGAACGGTATGGTCAATGTTTGTAAACACAATCCCCAGGATGTGTCCTAATCAAACCAAAATAGAAAATGCAGATATTACACTCATAAAAGAAATGGTAGACATATCAGTAGCCTACTCTTAGTGCCAAGTTGTCTCAGACAATCTGCATTTCCTAATGTGGGACAGTTCTGTGCAAAATGTGGGACACTGAAAAGTCTATGTTAAAAAGCCTCAGTCACCTTAATTCATGTAATAAAAACATCTCAGGTCAGTAACACTGAAAGCTAAATGTGCAATACCATGTTCAGCTATGTTACTATTTATAATGTTATTGTTGTTACAACAGAAGATGTTTTTCTTTATATTGAAGTTAAATGCATCAATCTGGTGCACTTTGAGGGCAAAATTAAGAGATGTATGGATACCGCTGGAAAAAGCTGCAGTACATATGCCGAGCCTGTACGTAGCGCTGTAACTTCCTCCACAAAAGCAGCCTTCTGTTTATTCAACGTGGTGGGGGCCGAGGGAACCGGGCAGAGTTTTTCGCCGGTCAACGTGTGTTAAAGTTTAAATCTTCCTTATTGAGCTTTAAAACAAATGAATAACGACTATATATAATAATAAAATACACGGAGCCTGGCCTCTCTTTGTCCTCCCTCTCTTCTGACAGCGTCAGTGTCTGTCTCATGCAGCAGCTGATCCAGTAATGAGTGACACATTTTGAGTTGTATACACTGTTGGAAATAGGAGATTCCTAGCTTTCTAATGATATCAGGATTGTTTTTGTACTCCAAATATTAAGCAAAATATGTCACATTATATAATGACTGTCACCGAGTCATCATTTTGAGAAAAAGGCCTTCAAAGTTTCCTCTTCTCTGGAATCCATCGATCTGATTGATTATTAGCGGAGCAAATGATCAAAATAGTCCGGAGGGAAAATATTTCCGTTTGGATTACTGGTCTGGGGGAAGCTCGCGAGTGTATGTGTGTGTGTATACGTGTGTGTGTGTTTGTGCATTTTTGCGTAAGTGTATATTGTGTTTGTTTCCCGGGGAAAACACTCACGAGAAACACCGGCTGTTGTTATGCCTGCTGTAACGTTAAATTACTCCGTTCTCCGCTTGTAATTATGCCGTTACAAGCTTCATAGTTGTATTTATCATCTAAATTTGCCGAAACAAGTTTAATATTTGAAATCAGATGAAAAGAAACTGTGACGGACCCTGCCGTGTTATCTATGATTACTATATGCCTTACTGTACATTCATAATTTCAGCCGGAGGGAGGGGGGCGGCGCTGCGGAAGAGCAGATTGCGAGTGAGAGGTGCCTGTCATCTTCCCTTTACAAGCTTCACAAATGTATTTATCGTGTGATTTTGGAAATAAAAGTTTCATATTCTGAAAGCCAAGACTTTGTTTATTTAAAATCAAACAAAACACCCGAACCCCAAAAAAATTGTTTTTTACACAAATCCACGTTTATTTTGAAATGAGCCGTTGCGACTTCCGACTAATTTCGATAGAGCGGGTCACATATATTATATAGTGTATTGTATTATTAAGTAATATCATACATTAACCCCATTATAGCAGATGCCACATTGAATGGATGAACACATGTATGCATCAATAATTACAACAGAGTATTTCTAAATACAAGCTGTACAAATACTTATATGTATTTAATACTAATAACATAATGATTCATTTCAGATGATAATACTTTTCAGTGTCTGTCTCATGCAGCAGCTGGACCTGTCATTTACAGGAAAGGAGTGCGCGCATATGTCTATATGCATAGACTGTATATATAAAGAGACGCACTACCATGGAAACCAAACAATGGTGTAGCTGTATTGAAGTCCGAGTGGAAACAGTAGCATTTGGAGCGTTATGTTTGAATGAAACAGCCAGGTCGTGACTCACACAAAAAAAAAGTGTTACTTCACTAACTGTAAGCTTGTCACTCAGAGAAGAGTGCTGGAGAAGAAAGATCCGGGGGGGGGGGGGGGGTGGGGGGGGGGGGGGGGGGGGGGGGGGGGGGGGGAGAGAGCTGTGGCTGATGGGCAATTAGGTGTGTAAACACACAGCATTCAGACTGTTTAAAAAACGGTAACAACGGACTATTTTTCTTAGCGGATGCATATCAATTTAAATCAATACATACAACAATTTTTTAAATCAATACATTTTTTTTCTAAATCCATAAAAGCATTTCAATTAATATTAGGAGTCATGTCGTTACTTTGTTGAGAATGTGGCCATATAATAACCGGGATAATTTGCAGCGACTTGGTTATTGTGGGGAAAAATAACACCCAGGGATCAAGATCCCTCCGCTACACGGATCTTGATCTGCCTGACAAGGCTCCATTAAAATATAAATATTTTTAGTGAATTACTGAGTTTAGGCACGTTAATAACGTTTTAATGAAGTTGAATACAGAATATTCATATTTGTCAGTGATTTCATGTCAATTCGGCGAACATAAACATAAATGATCGTGGTGAAGATGATTAAATTAGGATTACAAATCGAGAGCCGGCTGCATTTCTTCTCGTTCGTTTTTTTCCGACTAAACAACATTATTTTGTTAAATAACAACATGGTGATGTTTTGTAAATGATTACATGTCTTATTTAGCACAGACTTTGATCCTATCCGTGATATATGGATCTTAACAAAGATCCGCTATACATTAGTACCAGACATACTGTACATCCAGCTTACTGTATTGAAGTTGATTTCACATGAGCTCCAATGTGGAACCCCACTGCACCCCTTGGTGGATCAATGATCCATTGCAGCTGGCTTCACAATAATTACATTTATTTATCACGGGGGCGGTCTCATGTCAGACTGGGGGCAGGCTCTTCATCACTGGCCTTTCACGGGCCGTGCACGGGCCGACCACGACCCTCGCGTTTCAAACTGTCCTAAATAAGCTGCTACATCTGTATTACATGTAACGGCATTAGGTCATCAGGATACAAAATAGGCAAATGTATTCCTTTACAGTTACAGAAGCAAAAACAATCAGATAACAGGTACATTTATGTGGTTAACGTATACATCAGAAAATCAGTATGACAAAAACTTTAAACATATTGTCCACTTATGTTGATAAAGATGGAGTTCATTTAAGTCTTATATGAATGTTGTGCAACAATGTTAATCCAGTAAGAAAGATTTTTCTCATGTGTGAACTGTCATAAGACTTATTCATTGTCCTCCATCAGCTTCTGTTTCCATGTGTTCAGCTGAGCTGCTGATTGGAGGCTCTGCCTCTCCGTCATCCTGTTTGAATTTCATTAAGCTGTGAGGACTGACGACCAACACACTTGTGTCTTTTGATATCACCATGCCATTTAAATCTTTTGTCACAAACATTGCAGCTGTACATTTCCTCTCCTGTGTGGACTCTCATGTGTTCCTTTAAACTTACACTCCATCTAAAAGATTTGGTACAAACTGAGCAGCTAAATGGTTTCTCTCCTGTGTGGATTCTCATGTGTTCCTTTAAACCTCCACGCTGTGAAAAAGGTTTCTTACAGACTGAGCATCTGTGTGGTTTCTCTCCTGTGTGGATTCCCATGTGTTGCTTTAAATGTGTATTCTGTGAAAAAGCTTTCTTACAGACTGAGCAGCTGTGTGGTTTCTCTCCTGTGTGGATTCTCATGTGTTCCTTTAAATGTGTATTCTGTGAAAAAGCTTTCTTACAGACTGAGCATCTGTGTGGTTTTTCTCCTGTGTGGATTATCATGTGTAGCTTTAAATTTCCATTCTGTGAAAAAGCTTTCTTACAGACTGCGCAGCTGTGTGGTTTCTCTCCTGTGTGGACTCTCATGTGTAGCTTTACACTTCCAATCTGTGAAAAAGCTTTCTTACAGACTGAGCATCTGTGTGGTTTCTCTCCTGTGTGGATTCTCATGTGTAGCTCTAATTTTCCACTCGATGCAAAATATTTCGTACACACAGAGCAGCCAAATGCTTTCTTTACAGCAATACGTCGTGAATCACTGACAGATTCATGTATATTTTGCAGTGAGTTTGAGCCTGACGCAGGTTCTCTGGTCTCCTTCCAATCAGCACTGTGTTCAGTGTCAGGTTCAGAAGAGTCTCCAGTGTCGTCCTCAGTCTTTGGTTGTAAACTGCTCTCTGGATCTGAGTTCCTGGCTGGTTCTGGTCCTCGACAGTCATCTCCATCAGCTTCTGTTTCCATGTGTTCAGTTTGTCTTTGATGAGGCTGTGAGGACTGAGGTTTCTCTTCATCATCTTCACTCTTCACAGGGTCAGGAGTGAAAGTGGACTTGGTGATATCAGCCTCCTCCAGCTCCTGAAGCTGCTCTCCCTCCTGACTGATCCTGGGTTCCTCCTGTTCCTGCTTAATGTGTGGGGGGGGCTCTGAGTCCTCCTGGTCCAGACTGGTGCTCCACTCCTGCTGGTCAGGGAGAAGCTCTTCTTTAACCACCACCAGCTGCTGGAGGTCTGCAGGAAACAGGAATCACACAGTCAGAAAAAACTGTTAAGTGTTAGCATTTAAAATGAGAGACATTTTGCAGCCCTAATTAATGCCTTTGTAATACTTTCATATTATCTTTCTTAGTCCCACCTATTGTGTATTGTTTGTGTTTGCTCAATTCACCTCATGTAGCCCAGCCCCCTTCCACTTCCAGTTAGAAATTAAAAAGGTTTTTTTCTTCTGGTTTAGCACTAGCTGCAATGTAAACAATGAATTGTATTTGGGATCGTTCACAGATACACTACGCCTACAGTATAGAATGAAAATACTTTGTTACAAATTTAAATCCTGCATTCAAACCTTATTTAAGTAAAAGTATGCAAGTATCATCAGAACATTTTACGGCACCTTCTTATGTAATAGTAATGATGGTGCAGTAAAATGTTCCCTGTCAGTGTTTAGTTTATGTTTGTTGATTATTTTGTATGTTGCATTTGACTGCTGTACATGTTCAAAGTTGCGCTTGCATAAATGATTATAGTTAAGTCAGACAACTCACGTGTTTCTTTAACATGTTTATTAGAAGCAGCATATAGTTGAGTTTGGCGTCTAGGCTCGGGCATCATCACTCCACAGATATACATAGCACGATGAGTGATGATTAAATAACTAACCCCCCGAGCCTACAGGTGGAAGCTGGGGTGGAAGCTGGGGTGGTGGTGGGGCAGGCAAGCAGCAGCAACATGAAACACAGCAGCGGTAGCAATGTGAACGCAATAGCAGGGCACGAACGCAGCAGCAGCAGCAAGCAGCAAGCAATGCATGGAGAGATATCTGGCAGGTTAAATAGAGCGGCATATTAAGGAGACTCTGTTTGGTTGGTTGTAGAGTGGCAAGGGGCGTTATGTATGAATGCAGCATAAGTGCTCGAGTTGACTGCCTGAACTAGCTCGCAGGCTTCGACCCATATGACATATATTAGTATATAAGTTTATTTATATAGCCCCTTTCAACACAAGGCAATTCAAAGTGCTTTACAAAAAATGAAAGACATTAAGACAATTAAGCTGGCAATGTCCTTGATCTCATATTCTCAAGAAACTGCACTACTTCTAACCTCTCTGTAAACCCACTTCACACATCTGACCACTCTTTCATTTCATTCTCTCTTCCCCTTTCCAAACATAACAAACTAATCTCTTCTCATTCTGCACCTGTCCGCCATAACCTTCGTTCCCTCTCCCCCTCTACCTTTGCCTCATGGGTGCTCTCAGCCCTCCCTTCCTCTGACCCCGAGATTCCACCGGGTCCGTCTGCGGCACGTTACGGCTGCGCCGCGGTGCTCACGGCGATCGCGGCCACTCTAGTCAATGGGTGCTATTCCACCACACGCAGCGCGTTACGGCTCAGAAGCGTCCCAGAAGCGTCCCAGAAGCGTCTCGGCGCAGGGCTCCTCTAAAATTAGGATGAATCCTATTTTTGACGCGACGCAGCCGTAAGGTAATGTCGGGCAGGCAGGAAGTGGAACGTTCAGAGCATATATATATATATATACACACAAACAAATTTTGCAGACCCTATCCCTCCGTAGTCTTTCAAGTAGGAGGAGAAATGCCAGCGTTCTCCTCCGGTTTACAGGCACTGTGTAAATTATATATATATAGAATAATTATGATGATGAATGCATTTTTTTACCACTAAAATACAGCAACACATCTTTGATTCATGTCGTTTATAACTGGAATATTACAGTTATTATTAACTTTGTCTGTACAAAGTAGCCTGTCCAGGAAATATGCCCAAATCAACAAAAACTGCGAGCCGGCAGGCAAGACGCTCCGCTTCTGAAATGCTTCTGAAACGCGTCTGGTAGGGTATGACGCCGGAGGAGGCCGGACCAAAACCGCGGCACAGCCGAAACGCGGCGCAGACGGACCCGGTGGAATCTAGGGGTGACTCGTTCCAACTCCTGCCTCCAAACTCTGCTGCAGAAACTCTCCTCTCGACTCTTTCATCCGCACTGGACTCTCTCTGTCCTCTCACATCTCGGCAGGCTCGTCAGTCCCCTCCTGCTCCCTGGCTAAATGACGCACTGCGTGCTAATAGAACCATCCTTCGGGCAGCAGAGCGGAAACGGTGGAAATCCAAACACCATGACTTCGATCTCTCAGGCAAAAAGCACTTTCTTTCAAGATAAGATCCATTCTTCATATTCTAACCCCAAAAAACTATTTTCCATCTTTTCCACCCTCTTAGAAGCCCCCAAAGCCCCTTCCCCCTCCTCCCTTCTGTCAAGCGACTTTGTTAACTACTTTGAAAAAAAGCTTGATGATATTCGCTCTTCTTTTTCCGACTCACCTTTACTCACCGCTGGGTCACCTGACCCTCCGTTCACCCACACACTAACCTCCTTTTCCCCTCTCTCTCCAAGTGAGGTTCTTACCCTCATTACCTCTGCCCGTCCTACCACTTGTCCTCTGGACCCTATCCCCTCAAACCTCCTTCAGACTATCGCTCCTGATATTCTACCGTTTCTCACCCAACACTTCTCTAACTTCTGGTCACTTTCCAAACAGTCTCAAGGAGGCAAGAGTAAACCCTCTCCTAAAGAAACCCACTCTCAACCCATCTGATGTTATAAACTACAGGCCTGTCTCTCTCCTCCCGTTCCTGTCTAAAACACTTGAACGCGCTGTCTTTAAACAACTCTCCTGTTATCTCCATCAGAACAACCTTCTGGATCCGCACCAGTCTGGTTTCAAGGCAGGTCACTCCACAGAAACTGCCCTCCTCCCTGTCTCTGAGGAGCTGCACACGGCTAAAGCAGCCTCCCTCTCCTCTGTCATCATCCTTTTGGACCTGTCTGCTGCATTCGACACGGTGAATCATCAGATCCTCCTTCACACTCTCCAAGAATTTGGTGTTTCAGGCTCTGCACTTTCCCTCCTCACCTCATACCTCAAAGACCGTACCTACAGGGTAACTTGGAGAGGGTCCGAGTCCAACCCTTGTCAATTAACTGCAGGGGTCCCTCAGGGCTCTGTTCTTGGTCCCCTCCTCTTCTCCTTGTACACAAACTCGCTCGGATCTGTCATTAGCCCGCATGGTTTTTCATACCACTGCTACGCTGACGACACCCAATTAATTCTGTCCTTTCCCCGCTCAGAGACCCAGGTCGTCGCACGCATCTCTACTTGTCTAGCTGACATCTCTCAGTGGATGTCTGCTCACCACCTCAAGCTCAACCTTGACAAGACTGAACTGCTTTTCCTTCCGGGAAAAGATTGTCCCACTCTTGACCTAACAATCAACATCGGCACCTCTGTTGTTTCCCCAACTCAGACTGCAAGGAATCTGGGTGTGACCCTAGATAACAAACTGTCCTTCACTGCAAACATCGCTGCTACAACCCGCTGCTGCAGATACACGCTTTACAACATCAGGAGGATACGTCCCCTCCTGACCCAGAAAACGACGCAGGTTCTGGCCCAGGCTCTCGTCATCTCACGCCTAGACTACTGCAACTCCCTCCTGGCTGGTCTACCTGTTTGTGCCATCCGACCTATGCAGCTCATCCAGAATGCAGCGGCTCGCCTGGTCTTCAACCTTCCAACATTTTCCCACACCACGCCGCTCCTCCGCTCACTTCACTGGCTTCCGGTAACTGCTAGAATCCACTTCAAGACAATGGTACTTGCGTACCATGCTGTGAATGGATCTGGCCCTTCCTACATCCAGGACATGGTTAAACTGTACACCCCAGCACGTGCACTCCGCTCTGCATCAGCCAAACGGCTCGCTGCACCAGCACTGCGAGGGGGACCCAAGTTCCCATCTGCAAAAACACGTCGGTTTGCTATCCTGGCTCCAAAATGGTGGAATGAGCTCCCCATTGAAATCAGGACAGCAGAAATCTTACACATCTTCCGGCGCAGACTGAAAACTCATCTCTTTCGACTCCACTTCGAGCGATAGAATTACTAACAAAGAATTTCTAACAAAGCACTTATATACTAACAAAGGACTGGCTTATCTAAAGCCAGTTGAGTAGCACTGGAAATGCTTTCGCTCTATGAAACCTGAAGTACTTATATGATTCTGTTTTCTTCAAGTTTGTATCTTCCTGGTCGAATGCACTTATTGTAAGTCGCTTTGGATAAAAGCGTCAGCTAAATGCAATGTAATGTAAAAAGAAAATGGCATTTAAAATCAGTCATTCAAAAAAGAAAAGATAATAAAATAAACATTAAAAGAAAAAATACATGGATAAAAGTTACAGTTCAGTTTAAGATATGAATAGTTCAATTAAAAGCAGCGACACAAAGAAAAGTCTTTAGCCTGGATTTAAAAGTAGTAAGAGTTGCAGCGGACCTGCAGGTTTCTGGGAGTTTGTTCCAGATATTTGGAGCATAATAACTGAACGCTGCTTTACCATGTTTAGTCCTGACTCTGGGGACGGAAAGCTGACCAGTCCCTGAAGACCTGAGAGATCTGGATGGTTCATAATTTAGCAGTAGATCAGAAATGTATTTTGGACCTAAACCATTCAAAGCTTTATAAACCAGCAACAATATTTTTTAAATCAATTATTTGACACACAGGAAGCCAGTGTAAGGACTTCAGAACAGGAGTGATGTGATCCACTTTCTTAGTGTTAGTGAGGACTCGAGCAGCGGCGTTCTGAATTAGCTGCAGCTTTCTAATAGATTTTTTAGTGAGGCCTGTAAAGACACCATTACAGTAGTCGAGTCTACTGAAGATAAAAGCATGGACAAGTTTTTCCAAATCCTGCTGTGACATTAGTCTTTTAATTCTAGATATATTCTTTAGGTGATAGTAGGCTGATTTAGTAACTGTTTTAATGTGACTGTTGAAACTCAGGTCAGAGTCCATGACTACACCTAGATTTCTGGCTTTATCTGTTGTTTTGAACATTGCAGACTGAAGCTCAGCGCTAACTTTTATACGTTCTGCCTTGGCTCCAAAAACCATTACCTCAGTTTTATTTGTGTTTAATTGGAGAAAG